TGCAGCTATCTACAAATGCACAGGACGCGATTCACAAATAAATGCCAGGCAAAGTTGTGGTTGTGACATAAATATATATTTGTGAATATGTTTTTTATTTGCAAATCTCATTTTATTTATTTGTGAATTTAATTCATGTTTGTGAAACTTTAAGATTTATTTGTGGATCTCATTCTATTTATCTGTGGATCATAATCTATTTATTTGGAATTAAGCAACAATTCTACCCCCATATTTAACACACCTGGGCCCGTATTCACAAAACGTTTTATCTTACCACTAAGAGTTCTCTTAAATGGCAGTAAAAGTTTTAGCTAAGAGTTTTCTCTTAAAACAGGGTTCCTCAATTAGTTTTCACCAAGGGCCGAATTCTGCCAACAATACCAAGTCAAGGGCCACTGACCTATATATATATATATATATATATATAATTGTTATTATTATTAAAATTTAAACTTTTTTCTGTGTTTTTTGATGTGGCCTGCGGAACCCTGTCTTAAAACCTATTCACAAAGCTGCTGAGACAAACTTTTACTAAGGAATAGAGAGAAGAAGCTAAGAGTAAAGGGCGGGATTGACCTTTTTGCTATGAATGATGTCAGCATGTTCACTAACTATGCACACAGTGATTGGCTGATAGGGGAGGGGTCTCTGTCAGAGATTTATTCATAGAAATATTGTAGAGCACGATGTTGCCATATACTGTATAAAGGTATAAAAATTTTGCCACATTCAAATAAAGATTTTAAAATGCAGGCTAAGTGTCACTTATTAAACAAGTATGTTCAGCTAATGGTCTACCTCTTACATGTATGCTTCTCGTTAACAATTCAAGAATATGGATATAAACATCCTTTTAATTAACAGAGTAGAATAATCATGGCTGATAGTTAATACATGCAAATGTAAAAAAAAAAAAAACAGCTGTTACTTCTTGCCCAACTGGTTAATGAAAACAAGAATATAATCAAAGAAAAAGAGTTGGGATAACCTCCAAAACCAAAGCCGATACCTTTTTAAAAGGTCATTATCATCAAATGTTTCTAAAATGTTTACATTGAGGCAGATTGTTGGCAACAGCCATTTTAGGATAGTTTGTGGTTTGATCTTAGTGACTTAGGAGTCCTCTTCACTACTACCAACCTTTCACAGATTTAGGAGCTAGTTTTAGAGCTAAAAGGCTTTGTGAAATACTCTTAGAGCAAAAAATTAGGAGTCCTAAATTTAGGACTGACACGCCCATCATTTTTAAGATTTTCTCCTAAATCGGCGAGTTATGAGCTACTTTTAGCCTTAAGATGTTTTGTGAATATGGGCCCTGATCATCAACTCTTCAATAGAGACAGCAAGACATGAGTTGGGTGTGTCTGATAACGGTGGCATACAAAGTGTGCTGAGCTTAGGCCTTAAGAACAGGTTTGAAAACCCCTGATTTATACATCAGTTCTGGTTCTCAAATCTGATTGGAAAGGCCTTTCGAGAGTGCTGATATAGGACTAGTATCTGCTCTGGGATATTTCACAGTTGTATCACTCCACTTGTCTGCACATTCTAGACAGGCTATATGTCTGAATATTAGTGAGGTTGAAATTAAGCAATTTCAGTGAAGGTTACATTGTTATGGCAGTAGTTGGTGGCAAGTGATTGTGACTTGAGTGAGGCAGTAAACCATTTATTCCATTAATTCACTCAAAAATACTGATTCATTCAGGGACAAAACAAAATTCATACTCATGAGGCTCAACCACTGGAGTAACACTTATTAAGCTGCCACTTTACTTCATAGAAATGAAAGCATTGAGCCAGCACTGATGCCAGTCATAAGAAATCCATTTAAAGGTAGCCTGTTCACACAAAAGGAAAATTTCTGTCATCCGTTAACCATCGTCATGGCATTCCAAATCTGTATGACTTTATTTCTACTGTGGAACAGAAAACAAGAGCAAAGTTTTTTTGTTTGTTTTTTTAAGGTGAGTAATGCCATGAAGGTGAGTAAATCATGACAGAAATCCCTAAAATAGTTACATCCATCCTCAGTCACCTCCCTAATTCATTCTCTTGGGGACTGATTGAAAAATGGCAGCTGTTTTATGTGCATCAGCGTGAACCGATCTGTACGAGTACATACTCACTATTTGAAGTGTATTTCTAAAAATGACAGTTGCACTAAAGGGTTCGAGAGTAGTTTTTTCTCAAGGAAACAGATGAGGGAATTAAAAACAAAAATGGAAGCCATTTTATTGTTTCTGATAGCTTTTTGCAGCAATGTTGCACAGCTGAAGACAAAGACTAGCTCAGAGGGAAAATGCTCAAATTCTGTCATAGAAGTTTTGCTTCATCATTGCATAATTATTTCAATAAGGCTACTAATACTGTTTTATAGATATCTAGGAAGTCAGAGAATCAATACTACATTGGGATGATGGTGGAATTGGACAAATCATTTAGGTGAGTACGAAAGACTGTGCATAAAGAGTTATAATATTAGTTATTATGCAACACATACCTTTAGCAGCATTTGCAAGACATTGTTTAATTTAAATACATTTGTGCTGGTTTTATATTTGGATTTTTGCTGTCTATTTGTAGCTGGGTGGATGGTTCACCCATTGTATATACGTCATGGGATCAAAATGAACCAAATTTTGCCAACAATGATGAGAACTGTGTGACCATTTACAAGAGTATGGGTAAGCACTCCTCATCAGAAATGTTCCTTTTGTAGCTTGTGAGTGTTGTCAGTGCACACCACATCACTTTCATGCCTTAAAGCAAGGGTATCCAAACCTGCTTCTGGCCAACTTTCTGCAGAGTTAGCTCCAACTTGCCCCAACACACCTGCCTGGAGTTTTCTAGTAAGCCTAAATATCTTGATTAGCTGGTTTAGGTGTATCTACTTGGTTAGAGCTCCAGCTGGTGCAGGATAGTGGCCCTGCAGAAGAAGGACTGGACACCCTGGCTTTAAAGTCCCACTCTTTTTATTATCAAACATTTTTAAAGACCTGAAAGTAATGTTTAAATAAATAACACTTCACAACAAGGTTAAAAAATGGTTAACAAATGTGCATATTAATATTTAATTAAAGATAAGTCATGTTAGTATGAATCCTACTGTATAAACATTAGTAACACATTATCTGATGTTCCCAAACACTGAAGACTGAAGTAATAGCTGATGAAAATTCAGCGTTGCATCACATGAATACACTTCTTGTTTATATGGCACATTTGCTTTTTCTTAATAAAAAAAGTAAAATGTTTGCAGAAGATGTGCAGTATTGCACACGCACACATACAGCAGGCTAGTGCACTCCCCTTATGAAAAGCTTCATAATACGGCACCAACTTTTCTTTGTTTCATCATATTCAATTAATGACTGAAAACTGAGGTTTATAAGAATGCAGACAGTGATGAAGGCTAAAATAAAATAATGTAATTATTTTGATTAAATAATAATTAATTGACAGTCCTAACTGAAAGTGAAAAAGTGACGTGACATGTGGCCAAGTATGGTTACCCATACTAGGAATTAGTACACACACACACACACACACACACACACACACACGCACACACACAGTACATTCACTCCCCCCCTACAATTCCTGCCACACTTGAGACTCGAACTCACAACCTTTGGGTTACGAGTCCGACTCTCTAACCATTAGGCCACATTGTTACTCAATGTGTCATTATAATACAGCTTATCCACTCTCTGGAAAGACATTTAATTACAATTAATTTGAAATAAAATGTTCATTGTAACATTTAATGATAAAAAAAACAAAACAATCATTACCACCAAAACATGTATTGTATTTAAATTCTCATAACTGCACTCACTCTTGTGCTTTCAGCCAATATATTACACAGACAGGTAATGGCTATCTCAAAATGGACAAAAATAATGAATACACATTTCTACTTTAACATGCCTTTTCACATTTGGTGGCAAACTTTTGAAGCCAGAAATTTCCCTGATAAAAAGTTACAACTGAAGCTGAAACTCATGTGCTCAATACAAGAAAACAAATCTCATTGGTTCTCACACATATTTGAGCTTCTGTTACCATATTTAAATTTCCAAAAAAGAAAATTCTGTCATTAATTACTCACCCTCATGTCGTTCCAAACCCGTAAGCCCTTTGTTCATCATCGGAACACAAACTAAGGTATTTTTGATGAATTCCAAGAGCTTTCTGACCCTTCCATTGACAGCAAGGGTCCTACCATGATCAAGGTCCAGAAACGTAGTAAGGCCATTGTTAAAATAGTCCTATGACGTCAGTGGTTCAATCGTAATTTCATGAAGCTACGAGAATACATTTTGTGCACAAAGAAAACAAAAACAATGACTTTATTGAACAATTCGTCTCCTCCACTTACACCTCTTACCGCTTTCGTCTCCACCCTGGTGCCATTTTGGAGAGTATCACATACGTAAACAACATATGTACGTGGATACGTTGTTTACACTCAGATAAAAGCATAAACAATGTATCCGCGTACAGTGCTTTTGACACAGAACAGCATACATTGTTTACATATTTGATACTATCCAAAATGACTCCAGTATGATGCAGAGGAGACAAATTGTTGAATAAAGTTGTTATTTTTGTTTTCTTTGCACACAATGTATTCTCGTAGCTTCGTGAAATTACGGTTGAACCACTGATGTCACTTGGATTATTTTAATGTCCTTACAACGTTTCTGGACCTCGATCGTGGTAGGACCCTTGCTGTCTATGGAAGGGTCAGAGAGCTCTCGGAATTCGTCAAAATGATCTTAATTTGTATTCCGAAGATGAACAAAGTCCTTACGGGTTTGGCACGACATGAGGGTGAGTAATGTCAGAAATTTCATTTTTGGGTGAACTATCCCTTTAATGTGTGTAAGATAAAATAAAAATGCAAAAAAATAAATGAGTACTTTTCAAGTTGAAATAAAATTGTAAGGAGTAAAAATTACTTTTCCCTCAGAAATGTAATTACGTAAAAGTAGTCAGGTTAAACTGTACAGGAATAAAATACAAATCCCCCCAAAATAATACTTAAATACAGTAAGTAAACTCCTTGGAGCTTAAGCACAACCCAGTCCCACGGCATTTCGTGACATGTTCACGAAATTTTAATCTATTGATTTGTGTTGACACCGACCCTTTTTTTTTCCGTGTCACTCAGCACGATTTTCAGTCTAATGCATTTCAATAGGGAGTAACTTTCGTGCCTGCACCATGTTTTCCTTTCTGCCACACATTTGGTGTTTTGTTTTCTTTTCTTCTTTTTAGTCAGCCATTATATATATATATATATATATATATATGTGTGTGTGTGTGTGTATGTGAATAGTTCAGATGCAAAAGCCTCTAAGTGCCATTTGAAATTTTCTTCTAAAATGAGAATTTTTCTCAGGCTCCTATGTTTATGTTCAGTTATTTCACTTTAATTGTAATGAAAATAACCTAATCATTGCCATTAAAGTGAAATTACTGAACTTACACATAGGAGCCTGAGAAAAATGCTAATTTTAGAAGAACATTTCAAATGGTACTTAGAGGCTTTTGCATCTGATCTCTTCATACATACACAATTTACATGTTTGAGCACGTAACCCAACCCCACCCCTAAACCTACCCATTTGTATATTATATAAAACACAAGATATAACAGGCAGACATGACGACAAACTCTTATTTACTTAAAAACAAGTGTTCCAAAGTAAAAATTGATTTGTGTGGAAAAACGCATGCAAAAGCGAGCACAGTCTCCATTCGCAATCTGCTGTAAAACTGTCTGTTTACTATGCACATTCAAAATGGGCACCTGAGGAGGCAAGTGTTACGTCAGCTTTGATCGTGAAATGGCATTGGATCTTGTCTGTCTCATGACTGATTGCATCATGTCATTATATTTCAACATCATGTACGTTCACGGAGCGAGATTATTTCAGCGATAAAACATTACATTTCACTCAGTCTGTTCATATAACATCGTATGGCTTCGGAAGATTTGAAATGCAACATGAGATGTTTGTAATACTTTTATACGGTTTGTGGTCAGTTTTTGCAATAAATACATGTGCCTGTACTTACATTTGCTTGTGTTTTATATCGTTGAGAAGTAGGTTTAGGGCAGGGGTGTCAAACCCAGTTCCTGGAGGACCACAGCCCTGCTTAGTTTAGCTCCAACCGTAATTAAATGCACCTGATCCAGCTAATCAGGTCCTTCAGGCTTATTTGAAAACTACATGCTATGAGTGTTGGAGCAGGGTTGCAACTAAACCCTTCAGGGCTGCGGCCCTACAGGAACTGAGTTTGACACCCCTGGGGCCTAATTTATAAAATGTGCGTACGCACAGATTTGATCTTAGAGTGTGCGTACGCTAAAATCCACAGCAACGTTCATATTTATAAAAACCGTCACGTCAAGGCCTGAGCAGGCGTGGGGGGTGTGTTATGTTTTTTTTTTTTTTTTTTTTTTTTTATTAACGGGAGTTTTTGCGAGATTAAACTGACCTTTTTAGTAATAAAATGTTGAGAGTTCTTCAAATCGCTTTCTGTTTATTCCATGTTTTTTTATGATTTTATTTTACAAGAGAACGTGCGAAGTCTTGTTTTAGCCTACTACTAATGCAAAAAAAAACAAACAAAATACCAATGACTGAAATTTTTACTTGAATTCGTAGTTTATTCTTACTTTTGGAAACCTAATTGTTTTATAATTACTATTATTATTTCTGTTGTTTCTAGAAATAGTAATTTTGATAATAGTCAATAGAAAAAAATATAACCCCACACACATTGTTTGTCCACAGAATAATTACACATTATTAAATAAAATGCGTCCCCGCACGAACCTCTAACCTCCGCCAGCAGGACCTCAATTTCAGACTCAGTAAAGTTTTTTTTCTTTTCTTTATGCTCATGCTTGTGTTTCAAGCATAGAAATTCAGATATTGGCGCGTGGTCTCTTATATGGTAATTATATTAATTAGGGGGCGTTTACAAGGCGGAGCTCTGACACCAGTCAGCTGCGCACAATTTCAAGATCATTTGCGATTTATAAATGTCACATCTGGAAGAGAGATGTACGCACGTGTTTTTGTGCGCATGTTAGTTTTCTCTGAATTGCACTTACGCACTTTTGAGAAATGATCTTAGAACAAATTTAGGACGGTTTATAAATGAGGCCCCTGGTTTAGGGTAAGGAGTGGTGTTAGGTGCTCTAAAACAGGGGTGTCAAACTCAGTTCCTGGAAGGCCGGAGCCCTACAGAGTTTAGATTTAACAATAATTAAACACCTGATCTAACTAATCAAGTCCTTCAGGCTTATATGAAAACTACATGGTATGAGTACTGGAGCAGGGCTGGAACTAAACTCTGCAGGGCTCCGACCCTCCAGGAACTGAGTTTGACACCGCTGCACTAAAATAATAAATATAAAATATTTTCTAGTTTTACAAACGTGAATATTTAAACACTGAAGGGGTACTGCACTGAGATAATCCCTATTGAAATGCATTACTCTGAAAGTCGTGCTGAGTGACAGAAAAAAAGGGAAATTTGTGTCCATGAACACGAATCAATAGATTAAAATTGTGACTATGTCACGAAATGCTGTGAGACTGTTTTTTTAAGCAAAAACCCCAAAGTCTTAAACTTGGAGTGTGCAACTATAGGTAATTTTTGTTTTATTTGTCCCCTCAAAAACTGATGTTTGTATAACATAATAAATAGTTCTTGATTCTTCTGGAATTATAAAATTATTTACAATTATTGGTAACGCTTCACAATAAGGTTACATTAGATAATGTTTGTTATGTTTTGCCCTAGTGCAAGCAACTTGTTTCATTTGGTGATTTGCCAAGATCAAACATTTTTTTTTATGGCAGCATATTTGTGTTATATTACCTTTTGCATCAAATTACAAAAAAAAAAAAAAGTTAACGCTGCTGTGAGGGTGTTTCTAATACAGCGTCTGTGGAAGTGACGTAAATTTGACATCAGTCTCTCTTCTGACTGCAATTATCAGTGTCTCTCATTCTCATCGTGAAAACACTATTTTGGAGATTTTCTTCTTCTGTTTCATCAATTAGGAATGCAAAATGTATTTGACATAGTCTCCAATTCACCACTATAAAGGTTTTAGCATTTATTTATTTATCATTTTATTTGTTTATTTGTTTAAGGATTCTGGAATGATATTAACTGTGGTGTGGCATTGCCCTCTATCTGTGAAAGAAGTTCTGACTTTGTCAATGTCACCATGTCCCCTTCCACTGTGCAACCAGGAGGCTGTACTCCCGAATGGACCATGTTTCGAGGCAAAGTAAGAGCTATTGTAATAATTAGTGCAATCTGTCTAACTGCTCTAAGTAAAAGTATTTTCACTTACATAAATGTCATTTAAAATTCAACTTTGTTAGAAACGCAATAGGCAGCTGCACATTCTAATTCAAAGCACTTGTATTTTTAAATAGTGTTACAAGCTTTTTAATAATAAGATGACATGGCACAATGCTCGGGACCACTGCATTTTGCATGGAGGCAACCTGGTGTCCATTCTGAGTCATGAAGAGCAAGGTGAGCATTTCACTTGTGATATATATTTGCATTCACATAAAAGAGATGGATGTTGTGAGAAAGCTGCTTGAGAGGAGAAAGTAACAGCAATATTGCAAATTACAAATAAATGCAGGTGAAGAAATTTAAATAGAGAAGAATATGAAGAAATTGACAAATATCATTATATAATGAAATAAAGATAATCATTATTTTCCCCTTGTACAAACTGGATAATGGCACATTATAGGGGTGTAACTGTACACAAACACTATGGTTCCGTACGTACCTCGGTTTTGACGTGACGGTTTGGTATTTCGGTACTGCAGGAGGGAAAAAAAACAAAACATAAATTGCTTTTTTTTTTTTTTAACAATGGTTTACTGAACAAATTGCTCTCTTTAAATAAATTCAATATAATTAAAATTTTCTTAGGGATAAAAATCTACCTCAGCTTCTGCGGGAGCCCTTTTAAATTACTTTAAGGTTACAATTAACAATAGAGCCCAAACTTAAATTCCATTGCTGTTTATTTTTAGCTATAATAACCAACACTCAAATAAAAAAATTGTATTCAAACATCTAAATTCCTGTAAATTAACTTCTAAATTATACAATTTATATTGTTCTGTTGAGTCATAACTTGTTTCATAAAATGTTTATTTAAACATACAGTCATGGCCAAAAGTTTTGGCAGTTAAATAAATTGTGTGTTTTGCAAAGTTTGCTACTTCAGTATTTGTAGATTATTTTTCCACATGTTTCTATGGTATACTGAAAAACAATGATAAGCATATCATAAGTTTTAAAGGCTTTTATTGGCAAAAAATATAATGAGTCAATATTTACAGTGTTGACCCTTGTTCTTCATAACCTCTGCAATTCTTTCTGGCATGCTGGATATTAGCTTCTGGGCCAAATCCTGACTGATGGCAATCCATTCTTGCCTTATTAGTTCTCGTCTTCTGCTTGTCCAATCACCTTTTGAGGACTGACCACAGGTTCTCTATGGGATTGAGATCTGGGGAGTTGCCTGGCCATGGATCAACAATTTAAATGTAATGATCTTAGTGCCACTTCTTTAATCACTCTTTCTTTGTGACATGGTGCTCCATCATGCTGGAAAATGCACGGATCATCACCAAATTGCTCATGGATCATTGGAAGAAGTCGCTTTTGCAGGACGTTTTGATACCATTCTTTATTCATGGCAGTGTTTTTGGGCAGAATTATGAGAGAGCCCACTCCCTTGGTTGAAAAGCAACCCCATACATGGATGGTCTCAGGATGCTTCACTGTTGGCACAACACAGAATTCATGGTAGCGTTCACCTTTTCTTTTCCGAACAATCGATTTTCCAGATGTCCCAAACAGTCGGAAGGGATCTTCATCAGAGAAAATAAGTTTTCACCAGTCTTCTGCTGTCCAATCCTTGTACTTGTACCTTGTACCTTGATGTTTTTCTCGGAGAGAAATGGCTTCTTTGCTGCCCTTCTTGACACCAGGCCGTTGGCAAAGTCTTGGCCTCACTGTGCGTGCAGATGCTCTCACACCAACCTGCTGCCATTCCTGAGCATGCTCTGTACTGGTGGTGACACGATTCTGTAGCTGACTCCTCAGGAGGAGATGGTCCTGGCACTTGCTGGACACTCTGAGACGTTCTGAAAACTTCTTCACTGCAGTCAAACTGCTCTCCTTGAAGTTCTTGATGATCCGGTAAATGTTTTTTTCAGGCGCAATCTTCTTTGTTGCAATTTCCTTGCATGAGAGGCAATTGTGATGCTAAGCGATGTTGGCTGCACGTGTTTCTTTGGAGGTAACCATTGCTAACAAGAACACAATGATTGGAAGCGCTTCTTCCATCCTTTTATAGCAATCAGTCTGCTCTTACAATGTTCATTGATTTATATTTCACGTTAAAACTAGTAATAATGAGGAAGGGATGATCACTCACTCACGCTCCACACTGCCAATAGAACTGAGGCATTACTATATGGTGATATGTCGTGCCACATTAATGAGCATCAAAACGGCATTTATTGTCTGAATTTCCTGAAAAAAATGAACAATTTGCTCGGTACACATGCGTACCGTACCAAAAGACCCGTACTGAAGATTTTCAGTACGAATATGTGTACCGTCACACCCCTAGCACATTATGATTTTGATTGGCATCCATAATGAGCTGTAGTTTTTAGCTTGTTTTGTCTAGCTTTTCCCCACTCAGAGTGTGAGGAGCACATATACAAGTAGCACAAAACACACACTACACGTTTTTTTTTTCCATATGATGCTGGGCCTCATACTTTTGCTGTCTTTACACTCAATACTGAAGTATGTATTATTGTGGTTACACATTTTAGGATGTTCATGTTATGTGTCTGTTGTTGGATAATGAAACCAATTTGAGGGATGATAAAGTTTTAAAAAAGCTAAATGTTTCCTTTTCTTCCCTGTTTGTCCTCTTAAGTATGGGATGAGTTTGCCTTTCTGCACCTCAAACCCCTTTGTAAAGATTTCAGGAGTTCAGCTCCGCCCCACGGTTCATGTTAAAGAGTGAACCCAAAAAGTGGCCTCTACAGCCATGCTTAGTCAAGTCAAGTCACCTTTATGTATATAGTGCTTTTAACCATACAGATTGTGTCAAAGCAGCTTGACAGTATCGAATAGGAAAATAGTGTGTCAATAATGCAAAGGGACAATAGTAAACACTCAATTTTCAGTTAAAGGCAGTTCATCATTGAATTCAGTGATGTCATCGTCCAACTCAGTTCAGTTTAAACAGTATCTGTGCAATCAAGTCGACGATATCACTGGAAATGAAGTGTCCCCAACTAAGCAAGCCAGAGGTGACAGCGGCAAGGAACCAAAACTCTGTCGGTGACAGAATGGAGAAAAAAACCTTGAGAGAAACCAGGCTCAGTCGGGGGGACAGTTATCCTCTGGCAAGACGAACCAGCAGTTTGCTTCATGCTGCAGCAAAGTCAGATTGTGCAGAGGACTCATCTCGTTCTCGTGGTCTTGTCCAGATGGCTGTTTAGGTGACGAGGTCTTCACTGGGGATCTCTCTGGGGCTCATCTAGTTGTCCTGGTCTCCGCTGACATTCAGGGCTGTAGAGGTAATCTCTAGGTGCTGATCCACCATCTGGGCTGGATACGAACTGGATCCAGGTGACTGCAGTGACAATCTGATCTGCAAACTGACTGGATCTGGTGGCTACGGTGACCTCGGAATAAGAAAAAAACAGACTAATATTAGCGTAGATGCCATTCTTCTTATGATGTAACAAGTACATCAGGTGTTATGGGAAGTGTTCCCGGTTCCGGTTGACCTAACTGATGCAGCCTATTAGTGTGTTATGTGTAAACCAGGTTACAGAGATGGGTCTTTAATCTAGATTTAAACTGACAGAGTGTGTCTGTCTACCGAACAATGTTAGTTAGATTATTCCAGAGTTTGGGCGCTAAATAGGAAAAGGATCTGCCGTCCGGAGTTGATTTTGATATTCTAGGTATTATCAAATTGCCAGAGTTTTGAGAACGATGCAGACGTGGAGGACTACAATGTGATAAGAGCTTGCTCAAGTACTGAGGTACTAAACCATTCAGGGCTTTATAAGTAATTAGCAAGATTTTAAAATCTATACAATGTTTAATAGGGAGCCAGTGCAGTGTTGACAGAACTGGGCTAATATGGTCATATTTCATGGTTCTAGTAAGAACTCTAGCTGCTGCATTTTGGACCAGCTGGCATTTGTTTATTAAGTGTGCAGATCAACCACCCAATAAAGCATTACAATAGCACACCTAGATTCCTAACTGATGACGAAGAATTTACAGAGCAGCCATCAAGTGTTAGACAGTGTTCTAGGTCAGTGGTTCCCAATCCTGGTCCTGGAGGCAACCCAACACTTTTTGCATGTCTCCTTAATCAAACACACCTGATTCAGGTCATCAGCTCATTAGTAGAGGCTTCAAGACCTGAAATCGGTGTGTCAGGAGAGGAGACATGCAAAATGTGCAGTGTTGGGGGTGCCTCCAGGACCAGGGTTGGGAACCAGTGTTCTAGGTTATTACATGCGGAGGTTTTAGGTCCAATAATTAACACCTGTTTTTTGTTTTTTTCAGAACTTAGCAGTAAGAAATTACTCGTCATCCAGTTTTTTTATATCGACTATGCATTCCATCAGTTTTCAATTCGGTATGTTTCACAGCGCCGCACAAATATAGAGCCAAGTATCGTCAGCATAACAGTGAAAGCTAACACTGTGTGTCTTGATGATATCTCCCAAGGGTAACGTGTAAAGCGTGAAAAGTAATGGCCCTAGTACTGAGCCTTGAGGTACTTCATACTGCACTTGTGATCGATATGATACCTCTTCTTTCACTGCTGCGAATTGATGGCGGTCAGATAAGTACGATTTGAACCATGCTAATGCACTTCCAAAAATGCCAACAAAGTTTTCTAGTCTATACAAAAGAATGTTGTGGTTGATAGTGTCAAACGCAACGCTAAGATCCAGTAACACTAATAGAGATCTACAACCCCGATCAGATGATAAGAGCAGGTCATTTGTAACTCTAATGAGAGCAGTCTCAGTACTATGATACGGTCTAAATCCTGACTGGAAATCCTCACAGATACCATTTTTCTCTAAGAAGGAATATAATTGTGAGGATATTACCTTTTCTAGTATCTTTGACAGAAAAGGGAGATTCGAGATCGGTCTGTAATTAACTATATCTTTGGTGTCATGTTGTGGTTTTTTAATGAAAGGCTTAATAACAGCCAATTTGAAGGTTTTGGGGACATATCCTAATGACAATGACAAATTAATAATAGCCAGAAGAGGATCCATGACTTCTGGAAGCACCGCTTTTAGGAGCTTAGATGGAATAGGGTCTAACATACATGTTGTTGGTTTAGATGATTTAACAAGTTTATACAATTCTTCCTCTCCTATAGTAGAGAATGAGTGGAATTGTTCCTCAGGGGATCTATAGCGCACTCTTGGGTCTGGTCCAGTGGAATCTCTATTGGGCCGGCTGGTCGTCGCCATCTACCTTTATTAGATTCTACAATTTGGATGTCCCTGCCCTGCAGGCGTGGGTCTTATCCGCCTAATGCTTACCCATCCCCCCCTCCCCGGGTGGGGAGATTTATCTCAAGTAGACCTCAGAACGTTCTCTGGACTCTTTGTGACTCAGGCTTATGGAGCCCTCGCTGAGTGTTCCTGGGCTGAGCTCGCGGAGCAGGCTAAGTTCTGCATCTGCTTATAGCACGGCGCTACTGGATATGTTCCCCAACCAGTCGTCAAACGATGACGCAATGGGAGTTACCTTTTTCTATAGGGAATGCTCCAGTTACTGACGTAACCTTGGTTCCCTTGAAAGACTGCCCCATTAGACCGAGAGAGACTGTCTCATAAGGCCAGAAAGACTGCCACTTTAGGCTGGGGTACAAAAAGCCACTAACTAGCATGAACTAACGATGAACAATATATTTTTAAAAATTGTTTTATCTGTGAGTGTATTTCGAAGTCTTACAGTTATTGAGTAACCCTTTAATTGCTGTATCCCTTAAAACCAGACTGACAGAGGGTTACTGTAAATGTATGTGCCCGCTGTGCACAGTTTTCCTGATGCCACCGGGGTGGCTTTTGCACTGATGGCTTGGGCCCGCCATCACTGCTTGCAGCTATGTTTATTTAAATAGAACTTTAATTATTTTGAAATTGCAAAGAGCCGATGCACAACCTAGGTTCAATTTGGGTCAATCATGGTTAATAGATTAACCACGAACGATCATACGACAAGTGCACACTTTGTATAACCAAGTGCTTTGTCTTAAACACATGTGAATAACCTTGCATGGAAACATTCTAGAAACAACCACCACAAGTGCATAAAACAAAATAAATACTTATACAGAATGCTGAAGGAGACTGGCAACCGTGTTTTTGATAGAAGGCCCGGAAAATCTTCTATTAAAATTCATGTGAGCGTTCAGGCAGAACTTGAAGATGGCGGAACAATAAGCAAGAGGAAGTGGAATGCTTTTGAGATTTGAATTGTGAGATAGCTCTCCATAAGTGAAAAATAACTAATAATATGTTAATTTTGACCGTTCCCAAATAGCTTGATTGACAGGCGATCTGACCAATCAAAACGCGGATATTATGTGCCGCCACTGCTTTCTGCCATCTTGCCCGAGAGCTACGGCCGGTCTCCATAGAAATCCATGTTAAAACAGGGTAAAAAAGATAAATTTAATTAAAACTTTTTCATTATAACTAATAATAAAAATGTGCGGCGGGTTAAGCTGTGCTGTTGATCGGGAGCTGTATATGCACGTGTGCGCTCATCTGTTTTCAATGCAGCAAACCTCGTGTCGCTTCATGTCATCTTCCCTCTTATTAAACTATGATAGGTCTTGTACTGCAAAAAGACCATTTTCAAAGGTTTCATGTTATATTGTTGGCTCTGAAAATATGTAAATGTGCATATCCAGTAGCCACAGCTGTATCCCTTCTAGCCTTTACCACAAATCAGACAGGAGAGTAGATTAACTTCGGTGGACTTGAAAAATGGTGTGTTCCGCGTTTGAAATAAAATACTTTCTGATGTTTATTCGTTCATTTCATGCTTTATGTAAATATGAAAGGACGATCGGTTCACGTGTTTGAACTGAGGCAATACAGTGTTCTGTCACGACACATAAACTAGCTACAAAACGGTATTATTTGTTTGAATTTCTTTAAAATTAACAATTTAAAAGCTGAGAGTCCTGAGACCTTGTTTCATAACAGAAGTAACCTGCTCTGTGTTGTCTGTCGGCATGTTGTTAGTTTCCTCTTTGCTCTGCGATGTATTTTTCACTGCGTTAGAACATGTGTGTAATGTGAGTGCGGCATTGTTTGTTGGAGATGGCAACAGTAACTAAGGAGGGCGGGTCTTTGCGAACGTTCAATTGGTGATTATATGAGTATTTGTAATGATTGCTGACATGAACTTAAAAGACCTGCTAATGTTTCACATTTTTTCGTTGTTTGAATTATTAACACTTTAACATCATAGTGGACGATCAACACTGTAAACTTTGATTAGTTCGTAGGATAATAATATATAGCGTGAATTGTGAATGGGACATCATTTTTTACACAATCTTTCACAGAATGTTAATTTTAATTTAAATGTCAGTAATTTTATGAACCATGAGCACTCAAGCTAAAGTTTCAAGCGACCGTTTCCCCTGATTGAGTATGAACGCCAGTGTTGGTATCTGCGAATGCAATAATGAGTGAGATAAAAACTTATATACTCCAGGTATCGAGAGATGATTGGCTAGATCTATGAGTAATTAACATGTTTTTCAATTAGAGTATGTAATGTATAGATGTGATCAGATGTACGGTAATTTGGTAAAAATCCGATTTGGCTTCTGCTCAGTACATTTTGTGTGGTGATGAAGTAGTCGAGCATTTATTATGCTACAGAATAACTTTCCCAGGTTGCTGCTCACACAGATGCCTCTGTAGTTGTTAGGATCAAATTTATCTCAGTTTTTAAAGATTGGTGTTATCAAGCCTTGATTCCAGATGTCAGGGAAGTAACCTACACTCCGAAGCACAATGAATAGTTTTAGAATGGCCAATTGGAATTTACTGCTTGTGTGTTTTATCATTTCGTTTAATATCCCATCAGGTCCAGATGCTTTTTTGAGTTGGAGGTTTTTGATTTTTTCTTTAAGTTCTTTATCAGTTATTGTGAAATCTAATGGGTTTTGGTTATCTTTGATTGCTAATTCTAGTTTTTCCAGTTTGTTGATTGTTTGGTTTTGCTTACAGTTTGTGTCTGTTTGTACTTTATTAAACAATGTTTGGAAATGACTTTCCCATATTTCTCCATTTTGTATTGCCAATTCGTCATGATCAGTTTTTTTCAGATTGTTCCAATTTTCCTGCATTATTTGGATCTTTGTGTTTCTGATTTGACAATGTTCTCAGTTTTTTGCGAATAGTTTGGCAGTCTTGATCAAACCAATTTTTGTCATTTTTGGGTATTTGATTTTTTCCATTTTTTGTTTTCAATTTGGATTGTTTTGCTGATTTTTCAAATATGTAATTTATATCTTTGACCGCAAGATTGACACCCTCATTAGTGTGAGCATATGTGTTATTTAGAAATGTATCTACCAGCGCTTGTATTTTTTGGCTGCTAAGTGCTTTCTGATATTCTTCAGCGCTGTTTTCAGCCCATCTATATGGCTTTCTGATCTTGTACAGCTTACTGGGCTTTGTGTTAATGGTATTTTCTGTCTTTTTGAGATGCACAATGATTTGACTGTGATCAGGCAGAGGGGTTAGTTCTCTAACAGTGAATGATCTGAGAGATGAAGGATCTATGTCTGTTATCATATAATCAACTGTGCTATTCCCCAGATGTGAGCAAAATGTGAATCTCCCTAAAGTGTCTCCTCATAACCTACCGTTGATGATATACAGACCCAGGCTTCGACAGAGCTGCAGGAGGACTTTTCCATTCTTATTTACTATATGATCATGGTTATTTCTGTGGATATGGGAGAATGTGTTATTAATAGCAGTCAGTTTGTTGTTGATATATTTGCTCCCTTGTGCGTTGGTCCAGCTGTGTGCAATCAGTGCTGTGTGCAATCAGTGCAATGAATGATGGGATATGTAGTCCAGGATGATATGCAACAGTGTGTAGTGCGAGAGTCAATGAAAATGGAAAGGGTGACCTCTGATGGCTAGCAGACGGTTCATGGACCGGATTCGTGACAATATGGCACACATGAATATATCTTTTCTGGATGGGAGCAGTTCCTTGTGGATTTTAAGCCAGGTGTAGTATTTGCCTTGCTTTAATTTGTTGATGTGGTTGTGGAATTGTGATTTGTACCAGATTATTTGTCCTCCTGAGTCTCTTCCCTGTCGGACTGTGTTGAGTTTTTGTGATGGTAGGATGATTTCTCTGTAGTTGGGTGGGCAGCGGGTGATGGTGTCTGCCCTGCTCCATGTCTTCTGTAGAATAATAATATCCATCTCTTTGATGCTCTTCTGGAATTCTTTGTTTGAACTCTTTAGTCCAAAGGCTGTTGAATTCAAGCCTTGAATATTCCATATTGATAGAGTCATTTAAAGTGTGTGTGTAGGTATTACTCTTGTACATTATTTGACCAGTTTGGAGCAGATGATGTTGAGCAGGTGTCTTATATGATTGAGTTCTGCGGCTGCAGGGTTTTGTGGCTGTTGGACTGCTGCGGCGTAGCTCTGTGATGGTGCTCCAGGGGTCGAGTCCTGTCTGCTTCTTG